AAAAAAAAATATATATATATACATATATATACATGGAGATACTCAAAAACATTGTTATATAAATTAATATACATATATTTTTATATATCTTACTAAAGTTATTAAAAAATCGTCGTTTTTCAGTGGAAGATATTTTTGATAAGGTCCATTGCTATATATAGCAAATATGTGCTTTGAACAATAATACTAAATGGGTTTTTAAGGCATGGGCTAAGAGAGTAACGGACTGAACGAGAAGTTAAAAAGAAGAAGTTAGACTTTAAAACTGTGAAAATATTTCGCAAAGAGGCTGACAGCTTATAGAATGAGCGTATATAAATATATGAAAGCTGTATATACAATATATATATGTACATATATATATAAGCACATCCATCATCTATGTCAGCTAAAAGTCTTACTCGTAGCATCGCATATTCTGCGACTTATTTATAGGGCCCTCGTGTTATGTGAGGGCAAAGCAAATACGAGCGCTGCTAAGTGTAGCACAAGTTGAACTTTGCACTCGTGTTTACATTTCTCCAGCATTTTATGTSAATGTGTGCGAGTGTGCGTGTGTGTGTGTGATGTCTTCCTTTTAATAGAAATGAGTTTATTAAAAGTTTGTACGATGAAGTCGTCAGCTTGTCAGTTTGAGTTCCCGTTGCCGCTGACCGCTGTAAATAACACTTAAATACTAATTAAGTGAAATGGAAAAGTGTTGCAAATGCGGATGGTGCAACAAAAGAGCGGCAATTACGTTGCCCCAGTACAAACGGCTAACCACCTTGGCGACGAAGCTCACACTCTCGCTCTCTCTCTCTTTCTCTCTCTGCGGCAGTCCATTCCACTCCTGTCCCTGCCCTGCCCTGCCCTGCCGCCCCCTGCTCGTCACTTCTTTAATGGCGTATGACGCCAGCCAGTTAGCGGCATGCTGTACGCGTGGCAGCCGTGTACGCATTTCATTTCAGCATGTGGCCCATGTTGGGGCCATGCTGGCCATGTTGGCCATGCTGGCCATGTTGGGGCCATGCTGGTCCGCCTGTCTGCCTGGCTGCCAGACAGCGTATTGTCGCCAGACCGACACACATACTAAAAGCCGCAGCGCCCAGCTGTGTCTGCTGGCCCCCGCCCACAGATTGGCGACGGAACAGCTGTGACCCGGCACACGTTCGGCCCAGACATGGCTTTAATGCCGTTGCACCACGTCTTGTGTAAGAATCCGTTGGCAAATGTATGCAACGATTTAATCAGAGACTCGAAACGCAACTGCCATGCGCTTACCGCATGCCACATGCCACATGCCACATTTATGTCGCCTGCGATCCTTGCTTAACCACTGGGCGGTTTCATTTAACATTTGCGCCGCGAGCATAATTCATTAAGCGCAGCATTTACTGTTTGCAACGAGCAAGGAAAACATTTGGCATGTTTCATGTGCGCGTTATTTACCGTTCGCCTTTTACCTTTACATGCGGCATCAGGCCTGACAGCTACCAGCGTTTGGTTGCGGGTATTAAAATAATTGAAATGTGTTTTATGACGTCTGTGTGACCAAATTTAATAATTATGTAAAGAAGAAGAAGAAGAATCTAAAGATATATAACTAAATTATAAAATTTTATTTTTTTTGTTTTTGCTATATTTTGAATACGGATTCAAATTTAAAATTCAGTAAGCTGAAGTATATTTAAATTTAAGTCCATTTTAAATATTTATAAGTTTTGTAATATT